TCGTCGTTTTTTTTTTATGCATAGAACCCAGTGACCTTATTGATGCAACTAAATTTGGCCAAGTAGGTATTAAGTCTTATTTTATCAGGTGTCTGAATTGCAAAGGGAATTTCGACTACAGTAACCTCCGTACATAATTAAGGCTAAGCCAATTTACTTTAAGCCTTACTTTAAGCAGTGAGATATTTCAATGTTAGCTTTCATTGCTACAGCACTCTATCAAAGATCGGATATAGGCCTATTGCTCTTGTTTAATAAAAAATAAATAAATAAATAAAAACCAAACACTGCGTTGTAATCATTTCAATATAGGTGTAATTTTTGCCCTACCTGACTTGGAAATGTACCGAATACTCAGTACATTTGAAAACAACAACGAGTGGGACTCGAACCCACGATCTCCAGATCACTAGCCTGGCATCATACCTCTAGATCACCGAGCTTGCGCCTGATGGCCAGGGTTGAATTCGAGTCCAAGTAAGCAGCGGGTACTGCAGTGTTGATAGTAATTGTTATTCCATCACGACAATCATTTCATTAACAATAAGTAATTTTTTTTATTCGACAGTATTTTGTGAGGGTGACTCTAACAGCAATGTTGACTTGAAGAAGCGCTCTTTCAAAACAATTTAAATATAGATATAAAAATCCTATTACAATAACAGTATTAGTAACATTTAAGCCGGACACTCACTGGGTCCGACGGCTGTCGGCCGACGAGATTCTATATGAGGAATACAACGCCACGACGCGCGCGTAACGGATCGTTTTTTTTTTATAACGATCCGTTCGGGCTGCCGCTGACAATCAGCAGATAGCGTCGCGTCGTCTAACGTTCACAGGGAGCGGCGTTAGATTCGTCGGCCGACGGTCGTATGACCGTCGTACGATGCATTGAGTGCCCGGCTTTCCGGTCGAATGACGCAGTGAGTGCCCGGCTTTATTAGTCGATCAATTTACCTCTCCCTAGCTTTCACTGTCATTATGACAGCGTTCCATAACTACTAAGCAAATCACAGAGTCAAGCCACGCTGTTAACAATAACAAAATTAAACGATAACAATAAAAATAATATCATATCATCTTTGGCATTTATCGCTTACCACATAATCTCAAATAGCTTTCTGTTCTTACTTTGGTCACTGTAACAAACGTTCGTACGTAATCTTTTTCGCGCCCTAATAAGTAGGTTTATTCCCTCCCTTCAGCTTCCTGGGGAGTCCGTTACGCATAAACGTTCGGAATAATATCCATGGTAGGCTCTATTATATAGGCCTATAGCATTTTTTTCTCACTGATGCACGACGCTCGTGACATTTAACCTAATAACATTTTGTAGCAAGATTTTACAAATGCATGTGGAGTACTTTCACATCTTACAAGCATATTAATTCCTTATTCCTCTACTGAAAAAAAAAAAAAAAAAAAAAAAAAAAAAACGGAAATAGAGCTAAACCTACCTCACAGCTATGACATTTGTAGGATAAGATATACAAATACATAAACGCGTCGTACAGTACTTGTAAGAAATTGCTTCAATAATACTTACTGACTGACCTATAGGCCTATATCGATCGGACAATCTACCGGCCTGCCGACCGGGCAACCTATCGGTTGATGGATCGATTGATTGGTCAATTGGCCAATAGACCGATTGGTCCATAGGCCGGTAAATCAGTTATCAGATCAACATATCCCTTGATCCGTGGTTGGTTGATTCATGGAGAAATAAGTTTATCCTCCTTGGTTGATTGGTTCACGGATCAACTTGTTTTGTTCTTGGATTAATAGATTAATTGATGGTTGGCGCAAGGCGACTACTGATTCCGATTACTGATTACTGATTCAAACGGTAAGCTACGCGTAATGTAGTGGGAATCTTGTGAGGCTGGCCTAAAAACGTAGGGGCTACAAGACACTTGAACGATAATAAACAGAACGATAATAAACAAATTCTGCAATCTGATAAAAATGAGTCTTAACTCTTCTTGTGCATATCTGACTCGTTCAAATCAATACGCTAATAGTGTACATGGATTGCCATTTGGACAAATTATTTAGTTACTCGAAATCATGTTCTTGTGATTTTAAACAAATAGGTCTCTAATGTGTTTCCTTTGTATATTATTGATTAGTCTTGAGACATATGGCCTAGATGATGGATTAAAATTGTATGCGGGTCTAGGCCTATGTACAATTACAAAGGTAACTACATTAATAATAATAATAATAATAATAATAATAATAATAATAATAATAATAATAATAATAATAATAATAATAATAATAATAATAATATGTAATGTTATAGGAGTGAATTGTTGCCCTACTTGACGTGTTATCGTACCGAATACCGTACTCAGTACACGTTCCCAAATACTTGAGAAAAAAAATTCGCGAGTGATTCGGGTGGGAATCGAATCCACTTCCTCCAGAAAACAAGCTGGTGTCATAACCACAAGACCACCGAGCTTGCGCTTAGTGACTAGTTTTGAATCCGGCCCCAAGTATTGTTGCTATTATCATTTGTTTTGAAAAATTATCATTGTATTCTGGTCTACCCAACATTTAATTTTAAATCATATTCTTTCTATTGAACTGAATGTGTATAATACATGCTCATTACAGCAGAAATTTAAGCATAATGGACGAAATAAATAAGTAAATAAATTTAAATTATTCAACACATAATGTTTCGTTTAAATGTCTGTGCTCCATTCTTGATTAGAGTTTTGGTCAACGATCTTGCATGATTAAGATAGTCAGTGCCGTTAGTAAAGAAATAATCAAAGACGGTTCTGGAAATAATCAGCCGTACCGATCAAGCCGGCATTCCACCGCTTCAAAAGAATAAAAATACAGACAATGCTAAGAAAGTTCTCTTTTAATCCTTATACTGACATCTGCCTTTGGCGCATTCATAGGTTGT